TGAGCTGAAAGCTCAGACAGGTGACGTCAGAGACTTACTCTAGGAGTGTGTCCCACCAGGACCACAGAAATGACCTGGAAGGACACTTGGCATGTGGTACAATTTACAAAATGGATCAAGGTGGAGGCCCCCAAGGGCCCTGCATTGCTAGAATACTCCACTTATGTAAAATAAAAGAGAAAATTATCTTCACAACAATTGGCAAAAGTATATCAGAGTAATCAAGCCATTTTAACCATCTTCTAATGCAGAAGCTGCAATGTGTGGGGCTGCCTTTGGACAAAGAAGGACAAAGATGGACAATTTATCTCACAAAGAAAACATGAAAAGGGGAGAACAGAATCCTGGAGATAAAGACCTTAAAGGGGAGAGAAGGGAATGATTTCCTAAAGAGCTCAAAGGCTGAGCTGAGAGAGGCAGGGCCTGAATCCAGGCAGCACCATGAAAGGCATGAGATAAAAAGTGTGAGGAGCAGAGTGGTGGCCACCAAGAGCAGAGCGGCCATCGCATCAAGGTGGGGGAGGAGTCAGACGCACCGTTATCTCAAGTCAGGGGACACTGGTACCATGTCATGGGCAGGTCTGTAATGAAGACAGCATAGAACRCAGGGCCACATCCGAGCCAGAGGAGGAAAGGATTGCTGATGGGGAGGAAGTGGAGCAGTGGCCCCCACTTGCCTGAGAAGCTGCAAAATAAAAGAAAGAAGAGCGGCCAGATGGTGGCAGGGACCAGGGAAGGCCATCTTTGTTCTGCCTGCAGGCAGAGAAGAAAGAGCTGGTGGAGAGAGGAAGGCATGCGTCATGGCAGCAGACTGTCCTCCCTGAGCAAGTCCCTGGCACTTCACAGCTCCACGCTCCTGTTGGAATGAGGAACCAGTGACACTGCAACCTGCAGCCCCCTTGTTTAAAGGCCAAGGACCCTGTGACATCCCAGGCCCCTTCTGGAGTTGATTGATGATGGGAGCCGGGGATGGAGAACAGAGACGGAAGGCTTAGTCCTTTCCCCACATGTTAGGAAAATAATGAGAAACTACATTTTTATAAAACTGTGAAGACAGTGACAGCATATATCGACGTCATCTGTGCAGGCAGGCTATGTATGAAATCATTTGCCAAACTGATAAGTCCCAAGGACACAGTAACAGGATGTTGACATCATACCAGCGAAAGACCAAGGCGGAGAGAAAGCAGACGGGCTGCTGCCCAAGACATACGATGTCAAGATGGCCCCTCACGCCGACAGACATCGTGGGCAGTCATTGGTCATCCAATCCCTATTTTGGCCAATTTGCTGTTTTAAAATCCTGTTTTCATCACATTCATATTGTTGGGAAGTCATATGTCATCAAGAAGAAAGACTACAGGGACACAATACATGACCCTAACAAAACTACTGCCCAGGCAGAACATAAGGCCTGCAGAGCCCTTTAAGAAATTGAAAAGAAATGCTCAAGAGGACGACTAACTCAGGATTTTGAAATGAGTCAGTTAATTCCAATTGGAAGTCACTAAATCCCATCGAAAGTCACTTCCAGCGACATTTTCTTTAGGAGTCAACTTATTTTCAAACCTACACGATGAATTTTAGATCTTTCAGAGGAGTTGCCCAAACAATTGGCTTCATATTTAACTGAATCTGATTTATAAAGAAACTGATAGAAAAGACACTTGGGCTTTGTTTCTATGTCACAGTCAGAGCCTGCCACTTAGAACTGACCCACCCAAAGAGGGTCTTCCATGGAACTGCCCCGCTGACAGGGCCCTGTTCTAAGTGAAGTGCTTACATTCAGGCAGTATGTTAATAGTTAATTGCAGGCCGTTCAAACTTGCATTTGATCTGGGTAGACCGCTAGGTCTCTTCTGTGTGAGTCCTAGAAGACTAGCTTAAACTCTCTTTTAGGTTAAATTCCTCATTCTCAATCACACACAGGCTTGCTTGTGCGTACACATGATCAGAGGTCAGGAACTACATTTTATTTCTCCCGTTTTGGATTGAAGGAGAAGATGAAGAAAGCCCAAAGGTATTCCACTTCCCATCACCTCACTGACCACAGCGAGGTTGTTTCTGTGTGTTGGAACAGCTCTCCCTGACTAACAAGCCTCAGAGGGGCCCTGAGGCCACCAGCTCTGGATGGGCACTGCTCAGATGAAAGTGCCCAGAGGACGCTTCAGCACCCTGGACAGCTCCCACCTGAGCCCTGAGCTCCCTGGGGGTCAACAGAAAACAAAAGCCTGCGCCAATGCCCTGCAGTTTCTCAGCCAAGCCAAGACACACACAGTGAGGCTCAGTGTGCTCCTAATTGGTGGCACATCTTTGGCTTTCAGTTTGATCACCTGAGATCCTTCAATCTTGAGAAGAGCTGGCATCTAAAAGTTTTCAGATCAAATGTCTTTTCCTTAACTAGTGAGTCTAAGGCAAATGCATTTTTTTTTTCTGCAAGAAAAGTGGTTTGCTATATTCAATCATCTTTTGGTAGGGTTTTTATACATAAATATACCAATTTGGATTATTTTTCTGAGAAAAGTCCATTAAATTTTTTAAGAAACTGATGCTACCTTTAGCCCAGTATCATGGGTTTGCCTATACACTTAAAAATAACTAATTAATGTCATGGTATATATATATAGTACTCAACATGGTGTTATGGAACACGTGTGTGTGTGTGTGTGTGTGTGTGTGTGTGTGTAGGTTACTATGTGAAGCAAATGAACAGATTTACCACCTCACACAGCCATGCTTTTGCAATGCAGCAGCTGAAACCTCTCATTAGTGTGAGTCCCACATATGGTACAATTTTATTACCTACAATCTTTGTGCTGTACATTAGAGCTCTAGGCCTGTTCAACCTACACCTCTGTTATTTTGTAGAAAATACATGTGATGCATCTTTGCCAAAGCGTACTGATTATGTCCAAACATATACAGAAAATCAGAAATACATACCATAGTATACTAACTATGCACACCCCACCCAATACCAACATACATGTGCATGGACATACACACACACATACACACAACACAACTCTCTGTATTTTCCAGAAAACGAACATTGAGATCAGGACTTAATAAATCTTAAGGGGTGCTGTTAAGAGGTGCTGTTAAGAAATGCTGTTCAGAGCTCTATCAATGGAAATCACTTGCACCTGTGAAGTTCTGATTTGTTCCTCAGTTTAACACTTTCGCTTTATCTGAGAACCAGTTCTGTACACGCTAAAAAGAAATATATGCTTCAAGCTAAGATTTTTGAAAAGGATGGGTGGAGGCAGGCAGCACAGTGTTCAGCTTTTGCCTTTCCTTTCCCCTAGCGACACCTAGCGCCTATTAGGAGAAATGCCACTGTTCTCACTCCAAACATCCACAACGTGAGAGTTAGTTGTTAAGTCACCTTTGAGGCAAAAAAATGAATCTTTACTGTTTGCATTGCAGCTTAACAGCCTTCCCAAGACCCCCAGCAATATAACCCTAGAAATGTGTTGTCAGACTCGTTAAAACTATATATATATGCTATTTTGTAGGAATTCTTCACCCTCCCAAGAGATTGAGATTGTCCATTTTTCTCAAGACCTGGCCCACCGCAGTGAAGGCACCTCTGGTATTTCTCTATCTAAYCAGGAGAGTCTGGAAATGACCCAAGAGAGAATAAGAAACTCTCCCGCAAGGATGATGCAGGGTCATGCGTCATGCATTTGTGTGCCCACCTATGTACAAGTCACACCCCCACAAACTTTGGTCACATCTATCCTGTATCATAAAACAGCACAATCTCACTGGCAACTGAGAACTGTCCCTATGGAAGCACCCCCCCMCACACACATACATACAGCTAAAGAAATACAACATGCTGAAGCTGAAGCAGTGTGACCTGACAGGACACATTCAATGGCCACTCGGTGCAGGGAGTGGTGGGCAAGACGACCCGAGTAGCTTGTGCAGGACCCCAGGTGCTGCTCAACTTTGCTCAAAAGGCCCACACAGTGATTTCTGCAACCCAACACACCCTGCCTGTCCTTATGGGCTTTACCACCCAAGGCAGACCTGCCTGCCTGGGAGCTAGTCTGGGATTTTGTCTCAAAGAAAAAGGACAGTTTCCTCTCTTCTGGGTCTTCAGTGCTCTGAACATCTGGAAGGGATCAATAGGAGGTGGTTCCACCCATCCACCCCTGGAACCGGGTTCTCTGCAGGAGTCAGCGTTACTAAGGTGATATGCAAATTCAACCTTTGAAACCCAGGCTTCCAGCTCCGAGAAGAGTAGGAAAGGGTCTGAGGAGAAGTTTGCAGAGAAGGAACACAGTCTAAGGTAGAGCTGTTGGCCCAAGGATAGGAGCCAGGAGATGGACAGGGCCTAGCACCCATCAGCAAAAATTGTGCTGGACCTGGGACAGGGGTGGCCTCCAAGGCAGTACTTCAACATTTTTTCGAAAAGATCACCACCACTACCACCACCAGCTGGGGAGGGAGGGGAGAGGCTGGGGGAAATCAGAAGGGGATGTGATGGCACTTGCCTGGAGGGACAGAGAGGGGAAGGGAGGAGAGGCACCCTGGGTAGATTCCCGTGACAGGTGGAAGGGGAAGAAAGAGCCCAAAATTGATGTTCCCTGAGCCTTAAAGCAGGAAAACAAATAAATAAATGATAAACACTATCAACTTGTAGGCACAGACAGATCTAATTTCCTCCTTGGGATCTACAGCAGCCTGCGGTTACAAACAGATCCGTGCATCTACTGAACCCCAAGCCTATTCCAGATCCCAGCAGGAGCAGCTCCAAAACCCTGCTGGCCGCAGCCACCAACTCCTGGCTGCCGCCACCGCAGACAGAGCCCCGCTCCGGACCTCGGTGACCGAGATCCGGCGCTAAGCAGAGTGTCTGGGCGCTCGGGAGCGGGGGAGGGGAGGCGAGGAGGGCGCCCGAAGACCCGCGGAGCCTCCAGGCCTCTGAGCCTCGAAGGTGCGCTCGGCCACAGCCCGCCGCCGCCCCCCACCCACCGCGATGCTCTTACGTCCTCCTCGTCACAGTCGCTCCGCGCCTGGTACTGGAACCGGGGCCGGCCACCCGCGCCGCCGCCGCCGCCGCGCTCCCGGGGCGCCGCCGCCTGCGCCTGCGGGCCGAGGGGCTTCGTCCCGGCGCCGCCGTCCTCCTCGGCCCCCTGGCCGCCCAGGAGGCGGCTGGCCTCCGGGGGCGCCGGGAAGGAGCGCGAGGTGTTGATCTTGCCGGTGAACCTCTGGTACAGCGAAGCCATCGGTCACCGCGCGCGCTCTCGCTGGCTGTCTTGGGTGCTTTTTAATATTTTGCTTTCACTCTCTCGGCTCCCGCTCCCCACCCCCTCCAGGCAAAAAAGAAAAAGGAAAAGAAAGGAAGAGAACGGCGGCGGGGAAGAATCGGCCGAAGAGGGCGAGCAGGCGGCCGCCCCTCCGCGCGCCACTCTCAAGTCGCCGCTGGCGACTCTGCCTGGCTCAGCCTCCTCCGCCCCCTCCCCCGGCGCTCCGCGAAGCAGGGTCGGGCTGTGTGCTCGCTTTCTTTTCTGCTGCTTTTTATTTTTTCAACTCCTTGCCAGGGCCACGTACGGCCTAATCACAGATCGGAGGGAGGAAAGAACCACACACGCAGGGAGGGGAAGCCTAGGCCCCATTATTTGGCACCACCTAGAGACCGGCGCACACCCAGGGCGCTTCCGCGCCCCGCCACCCGGCCCCGCGGCTCCTCCTCGGCCAGCCCAGCCCGGCCCGCGCCCGCCGGGCGATTGGCGCCGGAGTGGCCGGGGGCCGGCAGCGCAGGTCGCACGGAGGGCGGGGCAGGGCGCACAGGTCGCGGAGCAGGGGTCTGGGGGCGAGCGCTGCCCGTGCGGGGCAGCTCGGGCGCTCCAGGGCAGGTGGCATGCTCGGAGACTCCCGAGGCGGCGGGCGGAGACGACAACCCCCGGGGCGCCCCGTCCACGCGCGTGGCTCGGCTTCTCGGCCACCGCTCCGTGGGCTCCCGACCGCAGCGCCCGGCCACCTCGGAGCAGCTCCCCTCTAGTCTCTTCCAGTTCTGGCCCAACTCGGAACAATAGCACAGACCCTGAGGGCCTGGGTCGACGGGGGCGCGGGGGCGCAGGCAGGGAGGGAGGGAAGGATGGAGGCCTGCGCCAAAGGTGGTCGGGTGATGCGGGCTTCTAAGGAGCCCACCTCTTTCCAAAACCGAAGTCTTGAAAAACAACTTCATATCCCTCCCTCACTCTCGGAAAGAAGGCGAAGGTTGTTGGAGGAGAGCTAGTGGAGGCCTAGTGCCCCGGGAGCAGTCCCATCGCACGCTCCTCCCCAGTGTGCCAGCCTATTTGTGTGTATCACGAACTCCATTTTAATTTTCCATAAATCTAGGGAGAGGCTGAAGCATTTGGGATCCAGCAACTTTTCCAAAGCTTGTTCCACCACCCCTCGAAACCCCACCTCCCACGGTAAGGAACTGAGAGGGGCGGGCGCATTGACCCCAAATGATGTGCATCACTCAGGGATTCGCATTAACCGGTTTTGCTGCATTAAAACGTGCTTCAGCGCCCCTGTGTGGAGAGACGGCATAGTGTGCAGCCCGCGAGCTCCAGCCGGCGCTGTGCTTCCTCTCCTGCAGTCCGGCCACCTTCCTCTCCTGTAACCTGGCCCCCTGCCTTCTCTCTAGAGCCCACGCCATGGTATTTCTTAAGGGTCCTATGGCTCTTGCTTCTCATCTGGTCCCCATAACCTCTTCCTGCGGTCCTTCCTGGCTGCCATGGGCTCCAGCTGGGCCAGGACCCGAAGCTTGTGAGAGTGGTAGGGAGTATTAGCCCCGGCCCAGCGACTCCGCTGCGCCCTTCCACACACTGAGTCCAGGGCATCCTCGCCTCTCCCCGGGCTAAATGGTGCTCCAGTTTCCATAGGCAGGCCCACAGGCCCCCAGCCCCCCAGCCACCTCCTGCATCTCTGCTCCAGCCAGAAAGCCCAGGGCCAGGCCTGTCTGGCACTGCAATGGCCTCCCTGTACCCTCAGCTTGGAGGAAGACATGGGCTGCTGGCCAGTGAGCATTTGCTGGGACCAGCACCCTTCCATGCCTCTGCCCTGCTGCCCTTCTCCAAGGCAGTCCAGTGGGTGGCTCTTAGTTTTGGTCAAAATTAGAACACACCCATCCTGCGTTCCTATGGTTTCTGTGAACTCTGGATTAAAATAAAAAAGTGCAATCACTAAAGTACATAAAAACACTTTGCCTTTGTAGCAAATATTAAAACCAATATTTCAATCACTATGTGGCTCACTGCATGGGAAACACCACCCAGAAGCGTCTGGCATAGGGAGAGCTTCCTTGCCTGCTTCACTTTGAAGAAACTTGCAACAATTACAAGAGCCACGAACTAAACTTTAAAAGTCATCCCATTTAATAAGTGGAAACCCAGGCTTTCATTCCCCTCTCATACCAGCTGTGCTTTTGATAGGAGGAAGCTCCTTCCTAGCAGACTTCAAAGAGAAAAGCTCATGCTGTTGACTGCAGCCTTCAGATCCTGACATTTCACTATATATAGGTGCTGTTGGGGTCTTGCTCAGGATAGAAAAAAATATGCATGTATGTTTTTACACAAACTATGAGAAGTATATATTTATATACATATACAGATCACAGTAATATGTTTCATACAAATATAGTAAATATGGTACACACACTTTAAAGGTATGTGCAGAATATAGTTTGAATCTTTTGTTCAATAACAAATTGAATAAATTGATAAAGAAGGCGCATGTGCCTCACTTTTAAAAATTATTTTCTCAGCTGAGCTTGTAGGTATGCAAATTACAGTCTGGCCAAAGTTAAAAATCCTGGATTCAGTTATTCTGAAGGTGTGATTTTTATTTAAAATTATCTATAAAATAAAAAGACCATAAAACTCATAAACAATTGGGGAAAGAGCTGAGACCAAAATTTGTGTAGAGGCGTGAATCTGAAAATTAAAGAGGAGAAACCAGGAGAGGTGGGCAGGAAGGGCAAGAGGCAGGCTGGGGCAGGTGTGCAGAGACAAAGCACCAGGGAGAGCAGAGCAGCAGGAGGGTGAGGGTGGTCCTTGGTACACTCTGGACCAGGGCCCTGAGCTGACTTGAGAATTCAGATGCTTTCTTTCACCTTGCACAGTGAACTCAAAGCTCCCTGGGCATTCTAGGGAATGTTCTAGATTGTGTGAGAATGTGCATCTTATTTATGCAGCAGCACATCCAAATTTGTCTCAAACACTGAAACAGATCCCAGAGCATYTTTAGAGACTGTGTTTCGTGCTTTAGAATGAGGGAAGGGAGGCAGAGAAAGGCAAGGCTGCCATTCATGTTTAGGAGACACAAGTCACTTAACTCTTGYCCCTTGTCAGTGTGAGTGCAGGCTCAGAAGGAAACAGTCGCTATTTCCCACCTCTCAACTTGTCCCTGACCATTTACTGTACTGAAGCAGATTTTCACTCCTGCTTATTGGACTAGTATTAAGAAAGTGTGTTTGAAATTGTTTTGTGGACTACTTCATGTCAAGACTTTAATTCCTCAATACTGCTTAAAACACAAGGCCCACTGACCCATGTTTTGATTCAGTTCCCAGTTTCTTAAGTAAAGATGTGACTGTGTTTACTTTCCCTGGAACCAATTTACAAAACAAATATGATAAGTCATTGAAATTAGGCAGATGTTGCAAAACGTGGTAGGTAGTCATTTTAAAAATGACAGCACAGGGAGCCATGGGGCCTGCATGCTAGCTAAGCAATGCAGGGAACCAAAGGCTGATTTCAGCAACCCAAGCATGATTTGTATTAGGTAAGAGTTTTCTTGTGGCTGGGAGAGCTGTCGGCTGTAGTTCACTCTCTTTTTCTCTCGGTGGTGAGGAAAGAGAGCAGACTGTGTAGATTTTTAGTCTTCCTAACACTAATATTTGAAGAAATAAATGGCCAATGCAGCATACTCCAAAGAAGGGTCTTCCCTACAACACCAGCTCCAAAATCTTGTAGATATTACCACCTTGACCTTGTATGAATGGGGAGAAAGCAAGTATTGGGGTGGCTTGAGAAAATACACAAAGCAGATTCTCAATGTTGAAAATCTGTAACTCTCAACAAATGATTTTTGTTTGTTGTTTGTTTTGTTCTTTATCTTGTGACTGCCAATTTGAGACTGGGTTATGTGACGTCTTTACAAATGTTCAAACAGGAAAAGTCCAGCACACACGCACACGCACACAGAATTATTATTATTATTATTATTATTATTATTATTATGGGCTTTTTAAAAAAAGACAAGGTATGAACTGACTTAATTTGGAGCTTTTTAACTTGCTACTTAAATATAAGTTTTAAGGAAAAACATTTCTTTTAACTCAATAAAAAGTCTTTCTTCAAAATCAGTGAACTTTCATCTCCCAGTAGTGTGTTTTTCTGCATTTACTAGTGCAGTGCTCCCTGCTTGCGCACTGACACAGGCGGGAAATCAACCCAGGTGTCCAGGCTCATTCCAAGTGGGTCAGACCACCCACTGCCTCAGCCCGTGCCCGTGTGGACTCCCCTGAGGGTGCTCTTCTTGCTCTGGGACCCCGCGTCCCCTCCTCCCCACCTCTTGCTTCACTTTCCTCTTTCCCTTCTTGCTTTTCCTTCCCGTTTTCTCGGAATCAGTGTCAGGAGGCTAGACATTTTCTTTTCTCTAAAAATTCTTTGCTTCTGTCAAAATAACTATAAAATCCTACTTTTTACAATCCAAGATGCCTCAGAAATGATCCGAATAATGGAGGAGGAGCAAGCTCTGTGTTTTCCCATTTTCTGTGTACACAAAGAGGGCTCCCATGGTGCCTTCTGGGGCTCTCGGGAGCTGCAGGCCTCGGGGTGCAGCAGAGCCTGCATATCTGTGTGTTCCTGGGACCATCTGCACATGACCCTGTCATTCTCTGAATGTCTTAATTTGCAGCCGTGACATTCAAAGGGACCTGACATCTGCTCTGAGATGCCCCAAGAGCTCCTTGCCCTTTACAGACCATGCACTTTCCGTGGATTAAGTTAAATATGTTTCGTTTGATGTTAAAGTCATATTAATGAGGCTCTACACTTTGTTGCTCTAATTTTTTATTCAACAGAGGCAGTGGCTGTGCCCAGAAGGAGAATGTGTTTCTTCTCTCTGGCACCCTTGGCAAGCACTCCTGGTCAGCAGCAGGAAGTTCAGAGAGGCGGAGGCATGGCAATGGCCCAGACAGCCCCCAGGGTGCACCTGCATCATGTCACCCATGGGATTCTCAAGTTTTCATTTGGAAGGAGCAGTGGACTAGTGGGGCCTGGTCAGGTGCCAGGTGTTCTCTGGACAGTAGGAAACAGCTGTGCCAGCTCATCCCCACTTACCTGCAGAGAAGCCAGCTTCATTAAAAACCAGTTACAAGAAAGGGAGGGGATATGGGGTACACAGAGTGTGCCTGGGGACAAGGGTCCAGGGAGGACTGAGTGTGAGCCTGAGGTCATCCACCCTGCTAAGAGAGGCCTGCCAGAAACAGCAAAATGAAGTGAGATGAGGCCCGGCCTCCCCCATCCAGGTTCTTGTGTCTCCTCCCAGAAACTCCCTGGCTGTGTGGTGTGAGGAGGGTGGAGGAGGCCGGCTTCCTTTACACTCTCATAGTGACGCTGAGATGGCATAGCA